GAAACAACTTTATGAGGTCGTTACCAGTATTATCCCCATGTTACAGATGAGGAAACTGAGTCTCTGTCAGGTTCAGGAATATGGGAAGGTGGCCCGCACCATTTGAAATGGAGTCTGCCCTGCCTCAAACAGGAACTCTTTTGTCCTGCTTTATGTTGACTTTCTTCTTTAATGCGTTGTTTTGTTTTTCTCACTGGCCCCGACAATTAACTCAGCACCCCTACTTTGTTCAATTTAATACAGAGAGCCACCACCGCAGGTGCTGAGAAATGTCTACACCCCTCCCAGTCTCCTGTCATAACTGATTTCTTCTGGGGAGGCTATAGCAGCCAGAGCCCTCCCTAAGAAATGACAGCAATGGCATGTTCTTATCCTGGCTCTGCCGCTTAGTAGCTGTGTGACCTTGGGCGAGTTACTCAACCTCTCTGTGCTCAGGTCTCCTGATCTGAATAATCAGGATAATAAGTCTACCAAAGGCGATCATGAGGATCCACTGAGACCACGGATATAAAGCGCCCTGCCCAGTGCCTGACATGCAGCAAACCCTTAGGAAACGGTGTTTGTATTATTAGATCAGCCCATACTGGCTGTATTTCTGACATACGCCACAACGGGGCATCAAAGATTCAGATGAGAAGGTGCTAGATGGGCTAGTGTCCCTCCCCGGTGTGGATGTGGGGTCTTGGTCTGATAGTCTGTGTCCCAGAAGGGGAGGTGATCAGGGGCTTCCATCTCTCAACGAGTTTCCTTGGCTTCTCAGTGTATCCCACCTCCTCCAGGGTCAAGTCCTTGGCTCTATTAGACTTTAATTAGCAGGAGAGACCAGAAGGCGGACACTGCTGCCTGAGAGCTAATGATCTGAAGGGAGGATGGTAATGGAAATGAAACCAAAACTCCGTAACATAGCCTGGTGTCAGAGAGAAGGCGCACCTCCATCAGAAAGCTCGACAGCCTGGCTGTATGAACCCCCCGCCCCCCATAATAAAGAGAAATCAAGTAATTGCCTCTCAAGTGCTGGAAAGAAAAAGCCAGAGAGTGAGCTTCCATGGAAACGAGGTTCTGTTTACGGCGCTGGTCTTTTTCCACTGGAGGAAGATCAGCTGGTGAACCAGACCAAGGGCAAACCTTTCCCGTCGACAGCTCATTAGGGTTAGAATACGTACATGTGCATGAAGGCTTCTTAACCAATTAGCCAAATAATCTTCCTACCAGCGGAGGTCAGACAGAGGCAGCATGGTCGTTGTGATTTGCCAGCCAAGCCAAGGAAAGTATTGCCCTGGGCTTTTCTTTTAAAGTGATGGAGAACCAAGCTCAGTACCATCTTAGCGCAGACAGCTATCACCCAAGCCCATCCCGAGGTGTGGGATCTTCTCCACTCAAGACTGTGACTTCCGTCGATGGAGATACAAGAATTCAGACCAGCATCACTGCCGGGCTGGTTTGCACTGGTGGAAACACTGCGCGGTCGAGGACCCCGCAGAAGGGAGTCTGCACCCTGCGATCCCACTGCCTGCCTGCAGGACCTTGTCGAGTCTCTTAACCTCTCTGGGTCTCAGTGTCTTCGACTGCAGAGTGGGGGACCATTTTCTACCCTGCATGGCTACTGAGAGGCCTGAATGAGACCTTGTGCTTCAAGGGAAGGCAGGCTGACTTGGGTCCAAATCTTGGCTCTGCAGTTTCCTTACT